TTTCAACATCATAAAAACGCAGAAAACCTAAATATTGTCATGTAGATCATTTGTCTTAAAGTATCGTGCTGCTATGTTTTGTCTTATTGCCCACCCCGTTGCATGATAATGTAATAAGTGATGAATTTGTTCAATTAGTTTAAAAATCAAATAGTAAATTATGATTTTCACTATGCAAATTAGCTTTAGCTAAGGCAAATTAGCTAATTATTCATTGAATATAATGTGCCTAGGCTAATAATGTTAGCTGAGGTGAAAACAGACATGTAGCATTTGATGTTTGTCTCCAAGAATATTGTCTGTGTACATTTCAAGCCTCCTACTATAGATTTATGGTCTGGGTTTAATATAGTTCAGCTATAGTAAGACGCTAAGCGGTGTTGCTGTCTTTGGAGGCAACTGGTGTGTGATAGCATGCGGTCTTTTTTTTTTTTATCGAGTGAGTGGAGGGATTATTTGAATATATGTTTTTTTTAATTTATATATATTATATTACAAATTCGAAATGTCAACCCATTAGGGGGAATTATAGCATATTGTAATTCTGTTGCTGTATACTACGGTTTCGATATGCCTTATAACACATTAAAACCACAGAATACCTATATAGTGCTTTTCAAGGAGCATCAGTGATTGGTCAGAATACTCACAGCCATGCAGTAAACAAATTTGTGATTGGTTAGAGGGCTTTTTTGAATATCACAACCCTCTGCCACACCCAGTATTGCCAAATATTGCCATCTTGATTGGCAAACAGTATATTGTGCAGCCCTAACAAAACTAGACAGTACATTAAGATATTTTGGGCAGTTTTAGAAAGGATGTAGTCATTTCACACTTGTAAGGTCATTCAAAAGGTGTGGTTCATATTCGTTTGCAGTTGTGGAAAACAAATCTAGAGATGATGCCTTAAATGAGTATAAAGGATTAAAGCATTATGAAGTTATAGCACCAGAGTGGGCTCCATAAAAGCCTGGTGTTTGGTTGTTTGCCTGTTGTAAGGAGGAGAGTGGAAGGTGCTAAGCAGCAGGGCTCTGTAGATTACACTACCTTAACAACACTCCCAGGAGGATGCTGGTACTCACTAGAGCCACAAGCCTCTACCTCAGTATGCAGCAGCACAAATACTGCAACACAGAGCCTGTGTGGTGCAAAGAAAGGTGCTGTTGAGGTCATACAGGGAACTAGTTCAGAGATTTAGATTTTTTTTCTTAGTGCATTTTGCTCTTTTATGCTTGATGTTATGAACTCTTCTTAAAGAGAAACCCCAGTGTCTCCATAGTTAAACTGTTAAGGTGTAAGTCTTTCAGAGTGGTTTGATGGGAAATGCTTCACGCCAAGTTAACAGTGGCAATAGGAAGCAGTCATCCAAAACGTTTAAATGCCTCTCAAAGCTACCTCACATAAAGCCTTTATGTGAAATGTCAGGGTGTAGCCTGATGCCTGATGCATTGTTTTACGATAGTTTCAAGAAGCTTTTGGCCTAAAATGACCAAGAGGTATATGCAGGGTGTGGTAAAGCAAAATAATCCCCCCCTTTTTTCTCAAATTTACTACTATTTTACCAACATAGAAACTGAGACGACACATGTAGGTACCCTGGTGGATGAAATGTGAGTCTTTGTTTTTCCACAGTGAAGCATCAAATCACTGAATGACTGTATTTTCTTCTGAATGATTAAACTGTGCAAAATATTTGAAAAATCATGGCAAATTCAGTGTAACAGATGGCCTCTTGTGGCTTAGCGCTTTAATACTTTTATAGTCATTTTAAATTAACATATTTGTGTGTGTGCACTACATGTCAGTGGTAAACAAGGATTTTGTCCCTGTGCTGCATGAGGCAATATGTGTTTGTTGAACCTTCATGATTTGGAGGCTAGGCCTAACCCCAGTGCATGCAAGGAGGAGAGAAGTGGGACTGGGAACCAATCAGAAGCCAGCTGGACGGGTTATACTACAAAAGTGAGCGTCTGCAAACAGCAGAGCGCAGCTTTGCGTGACCTACATTTGCACTCACTAGCTCAAAACACAGACTGGCTCTACAGCTGCACTGAAACCAGCCTCAGTCAAACAACTGCGTCCGCTTGGTCAGAGATGGAGGACTCGTCACTTGTTTTTTGGTTTAGGGGAAGACAGAAACCTGCTGCTCTGTTATAGAATCGCAGGGAAAAGGGATAGTAGGGAGTCAGTGTATGAGAGAGATGAGAGGAGAGTAGGAGATGAACATGTAATTCCCCATGGTGTGTGTGCGTGTCCCTTGGTGGTTGAGAGGCTCCAGAGTATTGTGTTGGATGTTGTTTGTACCACTCTGTGATCTTAAAATAAAAACCCTGTCATGCAAATGTAGTACTGTTTCTTTCTCCTAAGCAAGCACTGACCCACATTTATATTTAAAGGAGCCCAGATCATGGCAAGCTGTGTTGTCCTTGCTTTTTTAACTAAGTCACTTCCCAGTCCATACAAAGAATATTTAGAAACTAAGGAGCAAAAACTTGCCAGGTTTTAAATTCATTGCTTTTGTTTGGTCACAGAAAAATTTACATATAACTGTTTATGGAGTCTACAGCTGTTTAGCTCTGCCTGTTTACGCTAATATTGTAAGGCGTGTTTCTGTTGAATGTTGAATAAGGAAGCCTACAGGGCAGAACAGAGCTCATTTACATATATCCATCTTTAAGCCACAATAACAAAAACAGCCTGTTTTAATTCTGGAGAAAACAGAGGTTGGAAAATTGTCATTTAACAATGACAAACCCACATTTTTAGATAGGTATTTTTAGATTGAGCTTATCAAGGTCCTTATAGGAAAATCTGTTCTCTCGGTAGTCATCTTTGCAACACTGTCAGGCACACAGTTAGAAATAAAGGTACATTCATCAAAGGACAATCAATGTAAACGCACCCTCAAAGGTACAACAGTGGTTTTAAGGTCCAATTGTGAACCGTAAATAAGCTTTTCCCTTGTGAAAAGTACATATTTGTGCCTTTTCATAACCTAATGTTTTAAAACAGAACAATAAAATAAAAGCCTGGAGACGAGACGGGGTGTGTGGAGTCAATACAGCTTAGAAAATATTAATTCAGTGGATTATGGTTCAGTTATGTTCCCTGACTAAAGGTACTGAGATGTACCCTTGAGGGTACCACCCCAGTGACAAGAGGGCACTGCCCTGGTGACAGTTTCATACCTTTTTTTCTAAGAGTGCATTTATTTCCAGCCATACAAGACCAGACTCTTATCTTTTTGAATGGGGAAAGACCCAAAACCTTAAAACCGAGCTCAAATTACTGTTTCAAAAACTACTGTTTGAAATCACTTTAAAAATAAAAGCTTACAGAAATCTCAAATAGTTTGTTTGACTCAATAATGCACAACAAACTCCACAACAGCGCTCAAGAAGAGGGGGGGGCTTTTGCCACTTGTGGCATGACCAGTAAGTCGATTGGCTCTTTTTATTGAAGGGCGCGACTTTCTATGTAAACAGACGTTAGCCGTTCCGAGCTTTCCCATTCGTTATCTGACCAGTGTCCCATCACTTCCTTTGTAATGTCTCTGACCTCATTAGGTCAGATACAGTGTTGTCTTATAAAGCAGATGTTGACTAACATTTGCTTTGCCTGGCATTGCATTCTGTGTTGCAATCTCCTTCCTATTGGGTCATGTTACTGAGCATTATCATTAGCAAGTCATGAGGAATTGGGAACTTACTGTATACAGTTTGTGGACGTGCAAGAATGTTTGTTTGACCTAGGCTGAGTTTAATTGCCAGTTCAGCTCTTCTTTATAGGTTATATCAAAGTGATTTACAGAACTTCACTCCTCAACTTTCAACTTCTCACGGAGCTTCTCCACATCCACGTACCAGCTTAGTGGCTGACAGCAAAGGATTTGTCTAATTGCGTGACATTTTCCGCTTTACGCAAAGGACTACCTCTAAATCTGCACAAGGATGGGTTGATGTAACTTCACTGCAGTGTACTTCTTTTTAGGGGTATCTTGGGAAATGACAGATGGAGAGGAGGTGATAATAAAACACATTGGCATATTATTACTTGATCCCCTGTGTATTGCGTGTAAGACCAGTCACTTTATGGTCACCTCTTTGTACACTCATTGTCCATTTTATCAGCTCCACTTACTATATAGGTGCACTTTGCAGTTCTACAATTACAGACTGTAGTCCATCTGTCCCTTTCACCCTGTTCCTCAGTGGTCAGGACCCCCACAGATATTATTTGGGTGGTGGATCATTCTTAGGACTGATGCAGTAGTGGCGCATGTGGATCAGACGCAGCAGGGTTGCTGGTGCCAGAATTTTTTCTTAGCATGACACTGTCTGACTTTCAGACGTCCAGCGGAGTAGAACTATCTTTCCTTCAACAGTTCAGTGTTTTGCATGTCAAAAACATACTTTTTGATGGGTTTCTGAGGTTGGTCAGGATGCTCACTGTACACAGTAGACATTGTTTTGTGATATCAGTATTGCAAAGGCAATATTTATTATTTATTATTAATATTATTATTATTCTGTCTCTGGTTGATTAAGTCCCTGTGCACCAGTGGGCGGGAAAAATCATATCAACCAATATCACCACACTTCACCTCCCCTTCCACAGCCCCCACCTATCAAGAGAAAACACTCAGCCAGCTCAGACACCCTCCCTGATACAACGATTCACTCAAATATATCCCGATACAGAAGGAAAACCACATTTTCCTTTTTCCTGTCAACTTCCTAATCCATACAGTCCATAAATAGAAACTGCAGCGCACTTTTAATGTTGTTTTACTGGTGTTATGAAAACCAATACGCAGTTTAGCCCCACCCTTTTATGCAGAAGCTATAAGGAACGTTTAAGCCTGAACTGATTTGGGGTAAGGCACAATACAGGGCAGCCAATCAGAACAGAGATAATGTACGCGTATCAGTCAAATTACATCAAGTTATATATTGTGCAACCTTAAACATTTTTTAAAATTGTTTTTGGTTTGTCAGGTCCGCTGGATGAAGATGTTGTGGTGATCGAAGCTACTCCTGCACCTCCGGTTCCAGCCAGTGAGGAAATCAATGTCACTTCAACAGACAGCGAGGTGGAGATCGTGGGAGATGCCTACAGGTGAGCCCTAAAACTGTCTGGACTGACACCCTCTGAATGATTTTTGAAAATGTTCTTTCTTTTAGTGCAGTCTTGTGTTCCAGTTGAGCAGTAATCTAACGTTTTCTCTCTCTCTCTCTCACACACACACACACACACACACACACACACACAGTGCTCTTGCAGGACTGTTTATTTTAGCTCTAAGCTAACAGTCCCTGCAGCACTAGCTTGCCAATTTTTGATGAGGAATAAATTATACCACCCTTGGCCGGGAAAAAACAAAATGGGTTCGTTTATTCGGTGCTGAGCATATGAATTGTATGCTGCATTCTTATCCCATTGTTAATTGATCTCCCTGTTTACATGGTCAGCTGCACTTTAGCATGACAGCTCTTCACAAGTGGTTCATCGTGTTCAGTGTTGTACTGTATGGAAAACAGTTTGTGTGAGTTTACATTCCATCTACCTGGAGTCTATGTTTTATACTATTTTATATCTACTCAGGTACCAAAAACACCTTGCAGTGTTTTTCGCGGTACACAGTGTTTTTTCCCCCTGGTGTCTGATACGATGGAATAGATGAAAAAGAACAAGTTGGTGCCACATATAAAAAAAATACCATCAAAAACTACAAGTGCAATCATTTAAATTCAGTAATTCTCATACTACACCAAATTAACCAGGACTGATCATACACTCCTTGTAATGCAGTTGGTCAGTAAAGACGATATCCATGATATGCTCAGAAAAGCATGCTGTGACACATTTTGGGCTAATTTATCATGATAACAAATCGTCAGATCGCACTGCCCTAGTAAATTATGATTTTTGACATGCAAAAGAACGTCTCTCTAACATTATTCATTCTTGTATATAAGAACCGTGAGGATTCTGAACTCTGTACTCCATAAAAAAGAGTGCATCTTATGTTTAGATTTTCGAAGCTAAGATTCAAAAAAGTAACCATGGAAAGAGAAAGGCTGCTGCAGCCTGTGCAGGGGGAGCCTAGGGGCTGGGATTAGAATATTTTTTTGGAATAAACCCGAATATCAAATTTGACTGAAATGCCCATCCCTAGTGTGAAGAACCTTTTTTAAAATTTAAAGAACCTTCACATATTGTAAAGGGTCAAAGAACAATCCTTAAATTAGAATAGAGCCTTTACATGATGTTCAGTAATTTATATTCTTTAACCCCTTAAATGACCAGGTTCCACCAGCAGGCCCAAAGTTTTGTTACACATTTCTATGACCTAAGAATAGCTCAACCAGTTAGCGTTGAAGTCCCTGTGGTTACTGAATAATAAGTCTTGGTATATATTAAGCCTGGGATTTTAAAGGGTTAAACCTTTTTGAAGTTTTTTTTACACTTAGAAATGCTGGACTGCTTTACTCTTGCTCACACGTTTCACTTTGGAGCTTTAGCATTTTATTTTAGACCAAAAGGATCCCCAAAAGAAAAGAACAACAAAGCTTCAGTTCCTGTGCTGATAGATGGTGAAAGTATAAAGTAGTTCCGGAGACGTTGCTTAGTACTTAAGTAGTTTTTGAGCTGCTACTTTTGTTCTGCTTAAGCTAGTTTTGTGCTTCTTTTACTTCTGCTCAAGTCGTTACCTCTTACTGGAGTGAGAATACATTTATAGATTTAAGGTCCTCTGCCCACCTCTAGCTGCGACCGATTAGCCAACATGGCGTGAAAAATCTGGTGGGGCTGAGAGTGTTTAGATCCCTCAGTAGGCTTTAGAGTGGACACTCTCAGGGCCTTTGTGGGTTTGCACATCTGGGGTGGACATAAAGCTGGCAGCCTCCGTTCTTCTGCAGACATTCTGTAGCTCTCCCAGCTGTTGCTGAGCACTTCAAGGACGAGCCCCATGTCAGAGCTAATGCGTTGGCTCCTCTCTCCTCCCTCCTACCTACCCTCTCTTCCTGCATCCCTCTTCCTGTCTTGCTTTTGGTGTGAAAAATCAAAGGAGGCCTTTGCAGATCCCTCAGGCCAATTTCACAGTGCCCTGAGGTCATTCGAACTCTGGGCACAGACAGCCTGCTGGAGATATGGGTAAATGGCCTCTGGTTTAAAAGACAAGGAACGCTCACGATATTAAATCTAGGTGGATTCACCCTTATATTGAGGTTTATAGCATTTGAAACCAGATGCTAAATTTTGGGTTGTTGCATATTATTTCCATGCATAGTATTTAGATTGAAATTCCCAAAACTTTGATAACCCAAAATCGGGGTGGGCAATACAATAACACTATTGTGATGAAGTACGTTTGATAAACTATCAATCATGGGTATCATGGGTATCGTCAGGACTTCTTCAATCCTGCATGTGTCATGAAGACAGATTTAGGACCAGTTATAGTTTGCCTGACAGTCATAGATGATTGATTGCCGTATAAATTATGATTAACAGTTGAAATATCCTTATTGTTTGGTGCATGCAGTTAATAAAGGACATGCCTACAACTAGCTGTCGTACCCCCTAGTTGTTGAATCTTAGTAGCTGCAAACCGATGACAAACAGCTCAAGCTCCCATAAACAAACATTCCTCACTGCTGCCCTCTAAAGTTCCTGTATTACCCGTCAAAGGTTTTCTTGTTTTCGTGAGACCTGAGATGTTTCCCTGTAAATACGTTTTCTGCTTTCTTTCAATTACTTCAACCTGACGGATGAAAATGTACCAATTACTTATTCTGTTTGTTGCAACATAAACAACTAACAACTGTGGAAAACAAACAGCTGACAACTGTGGAAAACAAATAATTGTAATCAGGCAATTATATAATAATTGTGACAGACCTGGTTATAGAGAACCGCTAACAACTATAGATTATAAAGAGCCTCTAAACAACAAACGGTGAACTCAACCTCACAAAACCTAAATTTCTTGACGCGTATTGTGAAAAATGTCAAGTATAGTGATATTTTATTTTGTCATATTAACCCAAAATGTATGTTTTTGATACACTGACCATTATAAAATGGTGAGACGCTGTTGTCATAGTATTCTAGGATAAAGTTGTAATCTGGAAAAGTTTTATGTTCATGTGATGGTGTCTTGTCATTAACGTTCCCCCATCCCTTCCTCCCTTTTGGTGACTGTGTCCCATTCCTCGGCTCATAATTGTTATTGAGGTCCCTGTGTGTGCAGAGCTGAGAGTCATTTCCAACAGCTTGATTCCATTATCCCACTCGCTGCTGCCAGAAATAGCGTGGGCCGCCTGTTCGCTCCTGCCAGCAAAGTCACTTTGTCAAACCCTGGATGAACATTGCTCCTTCGTCGCCTCTGCCTCGCACCAACACAACTGGACCCCTTTCATTTTCCCTCGTGACTGTGGACAATGTTGGACCAGATTTCAGAGTAGGGCTGCACAGTGTGGACAAAAGACTATATTGCGATTATATTGCCACTTAGTGTAATTGTGATAGGCCTTGGGATAGACTGAAAAATGTATTGGCGAACCGTTGATGTGGCATGATCAGCCTGCACAATTTTAACTAAAATTACTTGTTTGTTCGAGCCTTGATTCATCCAAACAACCAGGCAACTTCTGTGATTGACCAGGATGGTCGCTGCACACAATAAAACATGATTGGTTGGGGCTAGGGCTAATTCAGATACTCAAGTATTCATTCGTAATGTTGGTATTTGTTTCACTATTTAGTATTCAGAAGCTTTCTCTTTATTAAAGCTGCAAAAATTGTTGTCTAAACTACAATAAGTTTAATCAGCAAAGGCCTACAGTGCTGCGCAAGTGTCCAGTCCACACCGTCTCTGACTTGGTGGTGTTACTTAGGTGCTTCGGGTGGGAATATCCGCTCTTTTATTTCTTTCTCAGAGATGATATTCACAGTTATTGGCTGCAGGGCGATCTGGATGCTGCGCCCTGAAGTACACAGATCCACCTGAAGTGTGTTGGATGGCTCTGACATTTTGGCAGGCAGTACCATACTTCACTGGTTGACATTAAGTGTAGTAGAGCTCTTTTAGAGTAAATGCATTTTTCTAGGAGAAACTTGGAAACATAGTTTCAACCCTGCTGTTGTGACTGCGGTAGCCAGAGGAGCAGAGGCCACAGAATACATAATTCTGTCTTTGTAGTTGTTTTAAGCTTTGAGGCACCCATCACAGCCCGACCACAATATAAATTTTGGTGCTAAAATTTGATAACCAATAATATTATAATAACCGCGACCCTGTCTGGACTAAGCGGCTAATGATGATGACGATGATTGTGATATTATAATATATAAAACAACAAAGCAGCTTTAAAGCAATATTTGTGCTAGATGCAGGATTTTTGCCGATGTTGATAAATCTGTGATAATTTAAAGGTGAATTGCACCAAATTTTCCAACGTTTTGCTTAATTAAAATGGTTGAGATGTAAACAATCATTCAGAGTGATTTTAATGTGAAATGCTCCAGTCTAGTAAGACAGAACTGCTCGCAGTGGTGGCGATAGGAACTGGACGTCTTAAGTGTTTAATGCCTCTAAAAATTCCCTAACAAAGTTATATGAATGTATGAAATGTTTTAATTAATCATTTTAATATGATTTAGCCTAAAACATTTTTTAATCTGTTTATGGTGGAGAGATACGTGCATGGTGTTGCCGATGCAACAGTTCCCTTATCTTTTTAGATTTTCAACTATTTTACTGTTATTAAGATTACATATAAAAACTGAAGACACATGTAGGTTCACTGGTGCCTTTGATAGTGAATGAAATGGGTATATTTGTGTTGTAGCCTGGCTCCTGTCACCACCACTGTAATGAAAAAAAACAATCAGTAAATTTCTCTACAGTTAACTGTTTCACATCAAACTCTGCAAATGATTTTGTTTGCATCTCAACAATTGAATTAGGGAGAAATTTTGAAATACCCCCTTTAACTTAGGCCGATTTTATCAGCCAGGGAATGTATCAGTATATGGGTTGGGCCCTAGCATACACACTTGGTGGTCTGAGCCATGTTTTAAAGTCTGCTTTCTGCATCCCAGTTCACGTCAGC